CTTGATTACCCGGGGGGGGGGGGAATAACCGGCAGCCCGTTTTTTAAATTCCCGGGCCCCCCCCCCCCCCCCAAATTTCAATTCTACAGAGGAGGATTGTTACCACCATGTCCTTGGCTAGCCTGCTGCTGCTGCTGCTGCTGCTGCTGCTGCTGCGGGAGCTCTAGCTGTGCGTTGGCATCGCCGTGGAGACTCCGTGTGATTTCTTGGACGACCCGTCTCCGTCTCCGTCTTTGTCGTACGGCCACGACGACGTCACGGTCTTGACGCGGGTGTAGAACTGCACTCCCTGTTTTCGACAGTTACATGTACGCGTGCGTGTAGGGCGCCGTGTGGCACAAAGAGAAGGAACGGCGCAACAGCAGAAGCTTAACGACAGAAAATGGCAAGCACAAGAACGTCCGAGGTCAGCCAACCAAACACTCGCCAGCTTTACTATTAGTGGGCACCGTTGACGTTGTGACCACCCCTCTCGGTGTTTGCCATCGGGATTGGGTTTTCGTCGCTTGGCAACGACGTTGTAAAACAAGCCAATTCACTTCGTGAACTCAGCAACCAGTTACCGTTTTTTTTTTTACCTCGTTTTTTTTTTTGCGGTAACCATAATGGTGGTCGAGTAGATCATGTTGTGCGGAGTGGAGAGTGGAGAACCCTCACTCCGCGCAAGGGGGATGATCGCACCACGTTGTGTTAAATTGGTCAAGCATCCTCGAGGCAGTTACACAGTGCTTACAACTATCTCTGGAAGTTGAAGCACCAGGAAGTAAATGAAGTCATACGCAGCTGTCATCCGTACGCAAGGAAGTAAGCATAAGATGCCGAACACCCTTAGCAGGATGCAGCTCAACCTTCATGCGACTCGCCAAATACCTCACGGCGCTTCGCGCTTGGTGATGTGAGAGCCTGGTCCGGTGAGAACCCGGCGTGCTCCGTCCCGGCTTTGTAGGGATGCGAGGTCAATGGTCTAACGACTACGGCATGCACGACTATGAGTACCCCCCCCCCCCCCCCCCCAA